TATACGGTAGGAACAATCCGACATTGAGATATTTTGTTTAGCTGCGATGTGAATATAATTACATCAGGTGATTTGAATAGCTCTTTTATGGAATAATATCACTGTCATAAATAATTTTGTACGTAAGTAAAATTCGCATCTATAGTTATAAAACCTTAAAGGAAAACGGAGTGTACCACAATCTGCGAATAGAACAGACACAGATACACGTCCCACCCTTTCGAAGCAGCAACCCGCTCACGAAAAATACACAAGTTCAGACTGCAGGATTTTCAAAGTAGTCCTGTCACAGATGTTTTCACACTGCAGCTAGTGTTTCGTCGCTGCTTTGTTTACACTACAAGGCGACAGGGGGTTTCACATTGCATGACTTTCAAATAGGAAGAATCGCCGACAACTTTGTCCAAACTACGTCTCACAGCCAAAAACATGCAAGAACTGACATGGAAACACGTAAAGTCACGTAGAATATCTTTAGTTATTAACTACATAATGAGAAAGAAGCCTTTACTGGGGTAGAAAATCTAAATTTCCAAATATATGTTTATATTTTACCAAATTTACTTTTACATTTAATATTTACCTTACAATGGTTTTTAAAAACTTAAAAAATGCTTTTATTCTAGCCAAAATAAAACAAGACTTTCTCCAGGAGAAAAAAATATTACAGGAAATACTGTAAAAATTTCCTTGCTCTGTTAACATCATTTGGAAAATATTTTAAAAAGGAAAAATAATTCACAGGAGGGTGACTAATTCAGACTTCAACTGTACATCTATTGAATAATTTAAGTTCATTCATTTACCTTCGGGTTCGTCCCTGATTTTAACACCTTATTAGTGACCTAGTGTGCTTTTAATAGATTTATAATTGCAAAATGGCCTTATAATGTGATATTTGCAGCACATTTCACAGATCGATTTACTTCAAACCCTCAAAGAAAGTTATGAAGCGGGACTGGAGTGAAAACGTGGTGTTTGACAGACTTATCGGCAGCCTGATGTGAAGCGGATCACTGTTGTATGACACTGAAGGGCTTTATTCTGTGAAAACAACAGTTCATTTGTCCAACATCTTGACCGTTAATGGGTACAGTCATATCTCTATGCGTATCTTTCATCGCACTTGTCTGAATATCTTGTTTCATCTTGTGACTGAATAATACATAGGTTAATGTATGCTCCATTCAGCCGTTTACTTTCTGTCACCTTTACTTTTAATTAAAGAACAACCACCTAAAAGTGCATTATCACTTACCTAAGGCAGTAGCTTATTTTTTTTTAGCAACTTTATACTAGTTATACAGTGTAAAACACACTAAAGTACTTCTACACTATACTGTGTTTCTAGAGAAAGTGTTTTCCCCTCAAGAATCAGTGCAGAAATGCTAAAAAAGTGTGTGTGTGTGTGTGTGGGCTTGTGTTTGCCTTGAGGCGAGTGTGTCATCATGAACAGTATATGTTGACTGTGTGTGTGTGTTTGTGTGAACGCTGTACCCAAACTCCTGCACTCCAGGCACCGTCAACACACCGATCACTCGACCCCGTAGAGAACCAGCCTGATCCTGAACCTCCAGAACCATGATGTCTCCTCCACGCCTGAATAAACACACACACACACACACACACACACACACACACACACACACACACACACACACACACACACACACACACACACACACACACACACACACACACACACACACACACACA